TGTGTAATACAAGTGAAGTTTGAAAGCCTGTCAAGGGCAATTCTGCTTTCCTGAGTGTTTAGAGATTTAAGACAAACAAATGAAAACTAAATACAAAGAATTATTCACACTTTAATGAACTAGCACATAATCACAGCTCTTAAAAAAAAAAAATCATCTATTTGCCAGCCAAAACGTTACTCAGTGGGTAAACAAGGGTATTGGCCAACTGAGTCCAATCACTGCAGAAAAAAAAAAAAATCCCAGTGTTTTTCTTCTTAACTATATAAAATATTATTTTTTAACTTATTCTCTGAAAGAACACTACTGGTTCAGATCTGTTATATCTTTAGCTATTCCTGACAACCACTGACAATAAAATAATTCATTTTACTAATACTACTACATGGATTAATGATTCCAGGGGCCTAATTTTTCTAGCAGCCACAGAAATAAATCAGTGCTAGTATCTTGCTCTTTTTTTTTCCTACTGGAGTCCCTAAAGCATCTTTTCTCTGACAGCTCACCCAATGTCTCTCTTCTTAGGGAGGAAATTCCAGCTCAATTAGGTTTTTCCAGAGATAAAAGGAAAAAAAAAACATACTTTGCTTAGCTCTAAGTGTAGAATTTAAAAGGGCAGATATCTCTCTAATGGTGTGAGTCACCAGATTTGACAGCCATTGTAAATTTTAGAATGCACAAACTTAAATGGGTACAGCAAGGTTTTCACAGAAGTCTGCATTTCCATATTGGTTTTATTATTCATTAGTTTCCTATTTCACGTACTATTTAGCACGATCGTTTTTTCTGATGGCATTAGGTCGCTCCTGTCATTATAAATACAGTGACTCCACACACACCTATCACAAAGCAATGTGATGCTCTGGAACCCAAAGTCCAGTGTAGCACAAATAAAAAGTTTTATTCCCTACTTGCAGACAGAGTGCAGCCAGAGCTTCACCGTCTCTCAGATACGGGACGAAAAGTTGGCAGGCTCGCCAAGGGTTTTTCTATTTATTGTTTTATGACAAACCATGGCACTGAAAATGGCTTTTGAAAACCACTCTCTGTTTATTTTCATCAACAACATGGGGTCACGTGACAGTGATACACCCAGTGGGATCATCACACTAGGGCGATGGTCACACACCAGGAACTTCCAAAGTCCGCTCAGTAATCAAACTGCCTTCATGCGACACAGCACCCTAGTTCTAGCACAAGCACAGTGGCCAGAGCTCAGCAGAATCTCTTACAAGAAGGGTCCTTGGCTGGAACAAGGCACGAAAAGGGATTCGATTGTGGGAGAGTCAGTTCCATCCCGAGCATGGCGAAAAGGCCTACTGAGCCTACGATTTCTTCTCTGCTGATCCATACCCAGTGATTTCATATCCTATCTTTCCCCAGTCCCAAGCCTAAAATTCCCAAGCATCATTCTTAGTTAGGCCAGACAACGAAAAGTGGGGCATCATAGACCAACATACCACGTTCAAGGTGATGGGAGGGGACCTGAAGCAGTTAATTATCTATTGTGAAAGTTACGTATGGCTCCAAGAAATAAGATACAGGAGAAGGATGTTTACTTGGAGAGTGGGGGAGAGACCCTGGGTGGCGCAGGGAGGCAAACGCTGAGAGGGTGCAAGGCCGGCGTTCCGTAATACACCACAGTTCAATCGAGCAGTAAGATAAATCCAAAATGGCCTCTGCGGTCAAGTCACTTTTTTTCTCCAAAGGTTCTGGGTAACTGGTCATCCCAGGCTTGGCCTGACCAACACTGGTGACATCAGTCTCAAGCGGAGTGGACAATGAGACCCAAATTGCTCTACTGCACAACCACGGCCACTTTTGGAATCCCCCATCCCCCCATTCTTCTCAAGAGCCCACACTTCTGCACAACTTTTCCTATCAACGCGAATCTTAACTTTCCTGAGCCCTGGCCAAGAGATAACAACACCCCCGAGACAGATGCTATCAAATGAATAATGCAGCCGTGTCGATAAAGAACTAATCTCTTGTCTCATTGGAAATCACATTTTGGGCTTTTTCTCTCTCTCTCTTATATTCATCTCTAAACTATTTCTTTCCACTAGTGCTTAATTTGATTTTGCAAGATAAGGAGAAAAGAGAGTGCCAAACAATTCTAGTTCAGTTTTGTGTCATGAGGAAACGGATTATTTTAATTTGGCCCAGTCTCTTTTTTTTCCAGACCCCAACTAGAAGCAATTCTTCCTGTATCCAGATCATTAATGATGTCCAACTTTGTGAGCAAATATTGGGCTAGTTAGAGGCCCTCTGTTGAAAGTCCAGAATTTCAAAAGACATAGGCAACAGCTTTTATCCAGCAAATGCAGTCTGTAGCTCTCAGAAGCAAAGCACAGTCCTAGTAATCACAGGGGAAAAAATGACAAAAACTCGGCCAGTAAACTTGCGAAGCCAGGAATCAAGGATTTTGCCGCCATTTCCCCTAAAACAGCTTAATACCTATTTATTCCATAAAGCCCCTCCAATTATCTTATTTTTTAACTCAAAGACTGAGAGCCAAGGACTCAAGTGGAGTGAGGTTTTTTTTTTGTTTTTTTTTTTTTGAAACAGAGCCTCAAGCTGTCTCCCTGGGTACAGAACCTCCAACTCCTGGGCTCAAGCGAGTCTCCTACCTCAGCCTCCCAAGTAGCTGGGACCACAGGCGCCCGCCACAACACCTGGCTATTTTTTGGTGGCAGCCATCATTGTTGTTTGGTGGGCCTGGGCTGGATTTGAACCCACCACCTTAGGTGTATGTGGCTGGCACCTTAGCTACTTGAGCCACAGGCGCCGAGCCTGGAGTGAGGTTTTAATGAAGTGATTTACAGTGGTTTGGGCTGTGTGTCCCTCAGTAACACTGATAAGAGTGCGTTGGCCACAAGTGATGTCAGGTGAAATCCTTGCCTACCAGGGGCTTTTTCTCTTTTGGGCTTTCTATCTTCCAGGTACTATTAAATTGATAGGTTTTTCACCAAGGACTGTAGGTCTGGATTGGGAGATAAGAGAAGGTGAGAAAGCAGCTTCTAGAAGCTAAATGGCCAAGGCTGTGAAGTAAACAGTATGCTGTAGGGAGCTGTCCCTTTCAGCAATCTGGGTCTCCCTGGCTCCAGTCCTGGTTTCTAGACATGACCTCAGCAAGCTATGTGGTCCTCCTTGAAGTGTTATTTCTCTTTGGCCACGTCGCTCTAGTTTTCCTTTTATTTTCTACCTGGACATAAACAGTTTATTTTCTGTAGTCCCATCAGCCACGTAGAGGTCTTCATTTACTTTTGATTTGCTATGGTCCAATTTTTTCACTGCACGAATACAGCGACACAGCTTCCCTCTCCCTACGTTCTGCCGTCCCAGCTACTTGGAAGATGGCAGTCCTAGTCAAGGACTCTGACTCTGTAATTCAAGGAGAACAAAACAGCACAGGAAGAATTTCCCAGCTGGGATGATGTTGGGATAGCAGAACGAGGTAAAACATTCCTGTTTTAAAAATTGATAAAGAGAAATCATACTCGGTTTTCCTGAGTAAAGCTTTCCTCATGTGTATGTCTCCCTCATTGCCAGCCAATGGAAAAGACTAACTTCCAAAAGTATTGCAGTGGTAAGGGAGTGTCAGACAAAGAACGCTCTGAACTAGAAGCCAGAGAGCCTCATTACAGTCCCAGTCTTCAGCACGCTTGCTGTGAAATTGTGGGGCAAAATGTTTACCCTCCCTGGACTTCAGTTTCCTCATCTTCAAAATGAGGTTGGTAAAATGGCCACGTGGCTTGAACCTACTAAATGTGCAAGATTTTTTTTTTTAATTGCAAGGAAATGGATCCAGGTATATTTTTGTTAAGGTATCAAAGACTCCTTTTACAAATCCAAAAATTCATTGTCCTTATTGGCATGTGGCTCTATCCCATAGTTTTCTTTTTCTATTAGCTGAGTCTACTAAAAAAGGTTAGCTAAAAAGAAAAAAAGAATATCTTAAGATAGTTATCAAAATACATTGAAGGGCAAGGTGATGTTCCCAACAGTAGATCTGAAGGTGGGGGGGAAAGTCGCGCGTATCCATCAAGAGATTGCATAGCCCTCCTGGAGGTGTGCACTGGGTGCTCACTGCCCTAGGAAAATTCTGCAGATATTATCATCAATGCTAGACTGGCTTTAAAAATTGAAGTATAGAGTCATGGTCCAAGTCACACTCCAAGCTGATGGCAGAATTGGGCCTGGAATCCAGGCAGAGTTTCTCTTTGTTTTAATATAATTCCATGCTTCTTTCTCAGCTTCTAATCAGGGAAGAGCTCTACATCTTGGAAAACCTGACTTAGTCACAATTATAACCCATTCTGAATTTCCTGAACAGTGCTACTGAACGAGTCTTAAGATGTTAGAGAATCATAGGGGTAGCCCAAGCAGCTCATGAGCCCTGCAGAAGATAAAATTTACATATATAATAAAAGACTGGAGCTTCCAGTTCCCTAGGAATAATTAATACAGTGCTCCAAGGAAAGAAAAGCAATTTAAAATCTGGAATGCATTTTTATGCCCTACCTTGAATGTCTTAAGAGGTAACTCTGGGAGTTCTCCTGAAAGGTAAAATAGTGCGACTGAATATCTTTTCCAAACCTAGGTCAAGCCCTTCCCAGAGAAAAGCAGGGCTGCTTGGACAAATGTTGTTGTAGCCAGTTATTTTGATGCCGAGAAAAAGGGACTGATCCCAAAAGGTAGTGGTAGCATGAGGTGGGGAGGGGGGTTCAGTTCATTCATTAAAGGTAAAATATATATTCTCCCACTATTCTCAAAGATTTTAGTAGAACTTGGAGGACTTCTTTCCCTTTTCAAAACGTTTACTTGTCCTGTCTGAAAACACTTCATGCATTTAGGCTCGGCCTGCACTATGCTGGCAGCCAACAACTAAACGGTATTCTGCATGTGCCTGTGTAGCATAGTAAATCATTTACTCCATGAAAAACCAAAAACAAGAAAACCCCAGCCACCCCCAATGAAGACAGCAGAAGAGAACTAACTGATTTGTCTGTTGTCTTTCCTGTCAAGATGGCCCTCGCCTTTGCTTTGGTCAGCGGGAAGGACTTTATGTATGAGTCATACAAATGTTTTGCCAGGGCCCGGAGGTCAGCGGACTCTGGGTTCAGCTGGTCGATATCACTGGAGATCTCCGCCAGCAGCTTCTCCTTCTCCGCCTGTGGCATCCGCCCAAACCTGATGGCTACAGAGGAAGAGGAATGACAGGATGAATCATTGAATTACTACCGCTCCTAATGTACACTGCGCTCCCCACGGCCCTAGTTCCCACATAGTAAAAGCCCTTCCTCCCTCCACTAATCTTAAAGTCTGGTTCCCATCTACCAACTTGCTCATGTTTTTATTTCATAACAGTAGCAATACTATCAGTAAAAATGAAGGTGTTCATTTCTTTCATTTAATAAAAGTCAATACATAATCCTGCTGAGAAGGTATGTTCACTTCAATATGTAATAATTGAGAACTAACTCCTATTCATTCCTCAAAACCCAATCCAAATGTCATCTTTGCGAGGCTTTTCCTCATTTTCTCAAGCAGACTTAATTATCCCTTCCCCTGTACTCTATCAACTTATAGTGTATGCTTTAATAATAGCAATTTTCTTTTCTTTTCTTTTTTTTTTTTTTTGAGACAGAGCCTCAAGGTGTCCCCCTGGGTAGAGTGCCGTGGCATCACAGCTCACAGCAATCTCCAACTCCTGGGCTCAAGCGAGTCTCCTGCCTCCGCCTGTCAAGTTGCTGGGACCACAGGCGCTCGCCACAACGCCTGGCTATTTTTTTTCAGTTGCAGGCATCATTGTTTGGTGGGACCGGGCTGGATTCGAACCTGCCAGCTTAGGTGTATGTGGCTGGCGCCTTAGCCACTTGAGCCACAGGCACTGAGCCGCAATTTTCAAATTATACTAATAATAATTTACTTATTTACATGCCTATTTATCCTACTACAGAACAGTCAGTGTCCAGAACAGACAGTGTCTTATTTATTTTGTATCCCCAGCACTTGACATAAGATCAGGCATTAGAAGGATCACTATGTTTTGTGAATTAAATTAAGGAACTGTACAGAATAAAAAGTTGGACAGACAAAGCTTTGTTCTCAGGGAGTTTGAATGATCTTTGTTCCTCTTATAAAGAAAGATGGACGGTGCTTTGTTTCATCTTATTAGGCCAGAAAGCACTATCACACGTAGTGGAGAGGAGCCATAATTATCCTGAGACTCTTCAGAACTGCCACTTACAGATGTTTCACAAAAAGACAACATCCTTAACATCTGCCTTCTTGTGGGTGAAGACGTGTAAAAGAAGCAGAAAAGGAAAGAAAGCTGAAGAGCACACTTCAGAGAGGTTGGGAGGCCTAGGCTGGGGGAAGAAAGATCAAGGACTCAGATACACTTGTCCTTCCTACCAATACTCTCTGCAAAACTATTATCTGTGAACAACGTGACTTTGGGGCACGCTGTGGACTCTGCATTTTCCAATTATATGGGCATTGGGTGATCATATTTGCTATCACCCCAAGCAGGGTTCTGTCCCTGTGCTCACCAGGTAGGATCATGGCGGTGTGTTTTTTGACGGCTCCTTTTCTAGGCTATGTGGTTTTTGAGTGCAGAGATTGAGTCACGTTCATCTGTGCCTCTAGCACTTGGTGGCATCAGTCAATGGTTATTGAATATCAGGGGGAACAGAAGGCTGGTCCTTTGCTGTACGTTATTATGCTAAAAGCAGCATTTGTAACATAAACGTTGGACATGAAAGCGCATGAAAACATCTCCACCCGAGGACTTATAATTTACTTTGGATTTACCAGAAAAGAAACTGATCTGTACCCTTGAGTCTCAAATTCATAAACTCATTTCAGTTGACCTTACAGAAACTTTATCATCAATGAACACAACTATTGTGTTGCAGGGGCCTCCTTAGATACTTAGGAGTTAGAAAGGAAGAGAAAATAACCTCTTGGTTAGGATTCCTTTAAATTAAATTAGCCTATATTTAGACGCTTCGAGTAAATACATCCTCTGCACATGACCCCTTCAAATAGAAATCTTTAAACAGTTGCAAGTTGGGGGTCAAAAATCTGTCTCCCTACTTACTGTTCCCCAGCCTCTTTGTTTTTGTCTCACAGGGACGGGGAATGGTTGTTCACATTCTTAACTACCGGTGAGTTCTCCCACGTCCCCACCAGTTTGTTTGCGCTCCTCACATTATGACCCTTCTCTTCTCAGCACTGACCATGGTAATGACCTGCATCCTCCCTCCTCTGCTGCGCCATCTCCATGAAGGCAAGAATCTTGTTTATTGTTGTCATTAATACTTAGTAACAATGCTAAATTCTTGGATTAGGTATTTTAAAATAAAATGGAAAAAAAAAAACAACCCAGATAGCAAATTCCTTCAAAATATTCTGTGAAGCTGTTCCTGACCCCTTTGCTCAGATAAAATGAATCGTTTGCTTCCTTATACAATTGGCCCTCAGGTATTCTTAGGTTGTGAGGGTTCATCAGCAACACCAAAAACCCCGTAAAAGTAACAAGAATTAAAAAATACAGTATCGTAGCTATGTATAGCATCACATACTATCTAATTAGATATTATAAGTAATCTAGAGACAATTTAAAGTATACGGGAGGATGTGTATGGGTCCTATGGAAATACCATGCCATTTTCTATCAGGGACTGGGCATCCAGGGATTTTGGTATCTGTAGAGGTTGGAAGAGAAATCTTAGGACCAATCCCCCAGGGTACTGAGAGACAACTGTATTATGTTTACTTCCTGATTATTAGCAGTTTTCTTTCCTTCCTTCCTTCCTTCCTTCCTTTCCTTTCTTTCCTTTCTTTCCTTCTTTCTTTCTTTGAGACAGAGTCTTATTTTGTTGCCCTCAGTCGTGTGCCGTGGTGGTGGTGGTAGGGGGGTTACTCTGGCTCAGGCTGGTGTAGAAGCTGTGAGCTCAGGCAATCCATGCCCTTGGCCTCCCAGAGTGCTAGGATGACAGGCGTGAGCCACCACGCCCAGCCCAATCAGTAGTTTTCATTGGAGAAGTGAGGCTATATGAGATGCAGAGCAAGTAAGAATCACTTGGTGGCCGATGCTTGTAATCCCAGGACTCCGGGAGGCTGAGGCAGGTGGATTGCCTGAGCTGAGGATTTGGAGACCAGCCTGAGCAAGATTGAAACCCTGTCTCTACTAAAAATAGAAAAACTAGTTGGGCATCATGGAGGGCACCTGTAGTCCCAGCTACTTGGGAAGCTGAGGTGAGAGGATAGCTTGAGTTTGAGGTTGCCGTGAGCTATGACCCCATGGCACAGAGTGGGACTCTGTCTCAAAAAAAAAAAATCACTTGGTAACTTTCTAAAATTAAGTGTCTTCATGGGACACTTTAGTAAGACACCCCTACACCAAATTAAGAGTCTATCAAGCATCTGGAGTTGGAGACAGTTTAGAAAGAGCTTCTTGAAGGATGGGCTCCTGCTGTATGCATGTTTTGGTTCACGTTTTCAAACTATAACAACACTACTATGTCGGCTTATTTTGGTTATTCTACTTGAATGTCAATTATATGAGATGAGTGACAGGTTTTCCCACCCTTGTTGCTGGGTGTAACAAAATACACAGAGTGGGTAACAGAAATGTTTGATGAACTGAACTTTAAAACAGCAAGCTTAAAACAGAAGTGGCTTGAGCCTGTGGCTCAAGTGGCTAAGGCGCCAGCCACATACACCTAAGGTGGGTTCGAATTCAGCTTGGGCCTGCCAAACAACAACGACGGCTGCAACCAAAAAATAGCCAGGCGTTGTGGTGGGTACCTGTGGTCCCAGTTACTTGGGAGGCGGAGGCAGGAGACTCGCTTGAGCCCAGGAGTCGGAGGCTGCTATGAGCTGTGATGCCACAGCACTAGACCCAGGGGGACAGCTTGAGGCTGTGTCTCAAAAAAACGAACAAACAAACAAACAAAAAAACCCAGAAACTGAGACATCATGAACAGTGGGAAGTTTGTGGAAGTGATCAGGAGAAAAGTTCCAAGTAACAATTATGGAATAGTAAAAGAGAAGAAATTTGGTGTGAAACCTGGGGAAAATCAGAGTTATCACATAACAAAACAGAGGTGGTTAGAATCATGAACTACTTGTTGCTCTTGGACTTTAGTTATTATATAACACCGTCTTTTCACTCAGTAAATAATTAGTGAGTGACTATTGTGCCAGGTATTGGCGCAATAAATGCTGGATACATTTTTACAAGTAAGAAAGCATAAACACACAAAAAAGCTTACACGCCTAAGAAAGTAATTTTTTCCTAATGAGTAATCAGAAAAGCTAATTTGAATAAATAAACTGCCAAAGATAGCCACTTATTACATATGCTAGTCCTGCTTTTCCATGACCTAACAAAAATAGCCAAAAATAACTTTAAAAATCATTTTAGAATTAAGCAATATTAAAGTGAAATTCTTAGCTAGGCATGGTGGCTCACGCCTGTAATTCTAGCAGTTTGGGAGGCTGAAGTAGGTGAATTGCTTGAGCTCAGGAGTTTGAGACCAGCCTAAGCAAGAGTGAGACCCTGTCTCTACTAAAAAAAGAAGAAAAACTTAGCCATCTGTTGTGGTGGGTACTTGTAGTTCCAGTTACTAGGGAGGATAAGGCAAGAGAACCACTTGAGCCCAAGACTTTGAGGTTGCTGTGAGCTGTGACGCCACGGCACTCTACCTAGGGCAAAATAGTGAGATTCTGTCTCAGAGAAAAAAAAAGTGAAATTCTTCTTCTAGAATCTAAATAAAATATGAATTTGTATAAGTTGAAGTTCTAATGAATAAATTATCTGTCTTGTTAAATGACCATGCTACAAATTAGGTCCAATTAGCTATTAGTGTATTGGGTGATTTTAGCATTTTTATACATAAGAAGTTCAAAAGTGGGATGAAAAAATACAGCCCATTTGGTAGGACTAAATTTGCATAAAGAAACAGAAATGTGAAGTTGTAGAAGAAATAAACATTTTTATCTGCATGCATTTTTGGGAGGAGGGGGAAATGAGGTCTTGATACATTGCCCAAGCTAGACTTGAACTCCTAGGCTCCAGCCTATCCTCTCCCCTCAGCCTCCTGGGCAGCTGGAACTACAGGTGTGTGCCACTGTGCTTGATTCTCCACTCATCTTTTCGAGGGGAAAAGCCCATTTTATTTTGTT